AAGGTGCTTTTTAGTCTAAAGAACTGCTGGTGGATTCACTTTCTGTTTCTTGCTCAAGCTGGAAATGGACTTTAAAATACAGACGTGTCAAGTGATGTCACCACTGGCAAGTGTGTATAACACACAGTGCTTAAGCAAACTAAATGTCATCCAGTTCAGGTTTAAAGCTAAAGCTTGGTAAAATAAATGAAAAAAAAAAAACAGGGATAATACTTACCATGAATGAAGGATGTCCCATGTTCTGGTGGGTGGTGTGTTAGGGTGAAATCCGAAAGTACTCTGTGCTCCATTCATAGAAGACGTATTATCAGTTCCCACAATGAAAAGTGCTATATGAATGGAGGACAGGCAGGTGAATGAAAGAACCACTCCTTCCAAACATGATCATTGTGGAACAGACAGTATGGCTTCTATGAATGGAGCACAGAAAAGGCGGGCATAAGCTGCTCATATTAATCTCCGCAGATCACCTCTGTAGGGTATCGGGGGGGGGGGGGGGATTTCAACCTAACATAGCAGTTACCAGCACACAGGACACTCCGTACATATGGTCCCTGGCACTGTTTTTTTAATCTTGTGTTGTCTGACCACAGGTTTACTTGAAAAGGAACATCACTAAATCATAGGCTTATAAAGGTGTCTGATCACACCTTTGATGTAACAAACACAGTTCACGCTATGTTTCTTAATCAAGCAGAATAATCTATGCAAATACTGATTTTCTAAAAATTGGTGTATATTTAAGATATTCTGTGGGGTCAAGTTGCACAGCCAGATAGCATTCTCTTAAACTCAGAGGTATAATCAGAAACTTTATGGCACTTATTATCTAAAATGTCCTCCTCTTAAATTGGACCTGTACTGAAATATTTGCGTCCTCTTCTTAAATTGGACCTGTACTGAAATATTTGCTGTCTTACATGAAATATCTAGGAGTGTTAACTGTGCCTAAGTAGGCCTTCTGAAATGTCTTTCATCTTGAACTACCAGATTTGTGGTGAGATTAGGTGATGTCACTACTGTGCCAATCACTGTTGCTGAAGGAGAAGCTGTATCTGAGAACCTGCAGACCTGTGGGTCTGTGCTTCCTCACCCTTTCCTGCTAATTCTTGAATATTACCTCTTCAGTCTTAAGATCACCAAACATCATAGGGGCTGCTTTGAGGAAGTAAAACCCTGCCTCTAGTAAAATGGCTTCTTCAACACAGAGACAGTTCAGAACTAGGCATGGCAAGTCTGTAATGGGGACAAGATCAGCTGGTGACTGCAGAGCTCAATCTCAGTCTTCACAGGACTGGGATTGAGCTCTGCAGTCATGTTGGCAGCCGTTGTTTTCTTATTCCGGGTCACAATGCTGTGCAATGTCTCTTTTGGCCAGTTAACTATGTCAACCAAACTTATGCTTATCAGACGAAGCTTTCCAGAAAACTGTATATGCCGTAATAACCTTTGATACTGTACCTTGCGACACAGCAATTAAACTGGCAACTTCAGTCACAGAGGCACCAGCTAAGCGGGCACCAACAATTTGCCCTCTTTAAAGCTCAGTAAGCTCTGACATGACTCCGTATTACTAGCAGCGCACACAGTGAATGACAAAAGTGAGGCTTTTAGCTGTTAGCTAGGTGTCTCATTGCAAAAGAATGTTAGTAAAATTTTGCTTTCAACGCAACACATGTCGTCACTTTCACACCTGCAAATCACGCTTCTTGTTCTGTTCTGATAATGAACATTTAAACCTTGGATTACAGGGGGCACCACGGCAAAGGTAGTTTTTTTTTAAGTTAAACCAGAATTCAACTTTAAGTGAACCTCTAGAAATTTATGATAGAATAAAACCAGACAGACGCTGTACATATATACAGTGAAGGAAATAAGTATTTGATCCCCTGCTGATTTTGAATGTTTGCCCACAAAGAAATGACCAGTCTAAAAATCTAATGGTCGGTGTATTGTAACACTGGGAGACAGAATAGCAAAAAAAAAATTCAAAAGAAATGCATGTCTAACAAATTATGCACTGTTTTGCATGTTCATGAGGGAAATAGGTATTTGATCCCCTTCACAAAACATGACTTAGTACTTGGTAGCAAATCCCTTGTTGGCAATCACAGAGGTCAGATGTTTCCTATAATTGGCCACCTGTCAGGGATCTCAGGCTGGATCGCGACGCGTGAGTCTGCGCATGCGCGGTATGCCGGGGCGCACTAGCGTGCGGGCACTAGGACCTGGGCGCCCCCGACACCAACAGCGCTTGCGCATTAGCACTCGCGATTGCGCGCCTGGCACCAATAGGAGCACAGGGCGCCCTATTTAAACAGGCTCTGAATGTGTTTTAATTGCCGTATGGTCTTTTCCTGTATCCTGTGTCCTGAGAGATTGCTTTGCTGCCGACCCTGCCTGACCCAGATTCGTTCACTGTCTCCTGCTCTGACCCCTGGCTTGCCTGACCATTCTCCTGTCTAATCCTGTGCCTTTGATCTCCTGATGCCGAACCTGGACCGTGACCCGTGTATTATTCTGCCTGCCGCTTTTACCGACCTGTCTCCGCTGTTACCGACCGGGCCTGTCTGACTTCGCTCACTCCGCCTCCTCACATCAGACTCTCACCTGCTACGTACTACCGACAAGTGCCTTTACCACAGCTGGTTGCACCCAGGGGCCGCGACCTGGTTTTGGCTTGCTCCAAGGCCATCCCCACCATCAGGGGCCCTGGTGAACAAGCATGTCGGGATTTAGATTCTGTGCCCTGGGGAATTCTGGTCTGTGGAGCGCTAGAGGCTACCGCCGGTCGGTCCATAACACCACCAGGTTTTCACACATCTCAGGAGGGATTTTGACCCACTCCTCTTGGCAGATCCTCTCCAAGTCATTAACCCCCCTGGAGGTATTCCCGAGTATAGCTCGGAGTAAAGTTTCAGAACCACAAGTGGTAACTCTGAGCTACACTCGGGAATACCCTGCAGTGCTGCTCCGGGATCTCTTCTTCACTTACCTTGTCCTGCGCTCCCCGCAATGTCACCCCTGCAGTGTCCCCTGCAATGTCCTCCAGCGGATGCTGGCTTCTGTCTTCTGGGTTCCGTTCCTGCGATGTCGGGACGGAACTGGCGGGAAATTTGAAAGTTGTAAAAGTGACATTTACTAAAATCACATAGTAAAACATTACTGTACCAAACCATTTCACATAAATTTTGTCCCAAGTGCTTTGTCCTGTGCCCTGCCTGCATTTTTACTGTTCTTTCTGCCTGGATATTGAGAAATGTCCATGGCATCCAAAAAGCGTCCCTTTAGGTCAAAAGCGGTTTTAGACCAGCTAGATAACAGTGATAGTAAATCAGAACCACTTGCAGAATTGAGTGATAATGAGTCGTGGGGAATTCGTCATCAGACACTGAAAATGAGTTTTTGCGACTTTGCTCAGTGATTTGCGAACTTGGCGCTATATTTCAAATTTCAGTGTTTTTGATTTGATTATATTATTGAATTCAATTTATTATTATTATTATATTATTATTTTTTATGATTATTTATTAAATTATAATTTATGATTTCGTGTTTCAGATTTTAACATACCCGGGATGTTTACTAGACTCTTGTTTGGACAGATTTCAGTGAGTTATTCCAAAAAATTACAGGCCTACAATAAAAAAAATACATATTTCCATTCAAAAAAAGTACCGCTTTCAAAATCACTGAAATTTGAAATATAGCGCCAAGTTCGCACATCACTGAGCGATTTGTTTGATGACGAATTTCCCCACGAATCATTATCACTCAATTCTGCAAGTAGTTCTAATTTACTATCGCTGTTCATTAGCTGGTCTAAAACCGCTTTTGACCTAAAGGGACGCTTTTTGGACGCCATGTAAGTTTCTCAGTTTCCAGGCAGAAAGAACAGTAAAAATGCAGGCAGGGGACAGGACAAAGCACTCGGGACAAAATGTATGTGAAATGGTTTGATACAGTAATGTTTTACTATGTGATTTTAGTGTATTTAGTGAATGTCACTTTTTGTCATTTTCAAATTTCCCGCCTGTTCCGCCCCCCCGTACGTCCCGACGTCGCAGGGGGACGGAACCCAGAAGACAGATGCCGGCATCGTGCGGAGGACATTACAGGGGACACTGCAGGAGGGACATCGCGGGAGTGCAGGACAAGGTAAGAGAAAAACATATCCCAGAGCAGGGCCGCATGGTAAGCCCGAGTGTAGCTCAGGGTTACCGATTTTGATACTGAAACTTTACCCCGAGCTACACTCGGGAATACCGCCAGGGGGGTTAAAACAAGTACGTACTCAGTACCTCCATTTTTTTTTTAGGTACTGCTGTACTCCACCAGTCCAGACTGATCCCAAATACACCAACTGCAGATACCTTGCTTTCTCTCATATATGGCAAGTCTGGTGTAAAATATCCATACTCATCAATCAAATTTAAGCTATTCTTGTAGATTGTGAAGATTTTTCAGCCTGTTTCATCAGCCACCTGATGTTCCAGGCGTCGGCATCTTCACTGTGGGCACCCGGCTGTGACAGCCTGCGGCTTCACACCCAGGTGCCCATTGCACATGCGCGAGTCGTGCTGTGCTTCCTGAATGACACCCCCCCCCTGCTCCCCAAAGGTGCCAATCCTTAACCGCCTCCTGCCCGCCATATAAGGTAATGACGGGCACAAGGTGGTTCTCCCTACCTGAGTCGTTCTGGGAGGACGTCATATGACATCCTCTCACTCTAAACGCATGTGCGGACACAGTGGATCACCGATCAACGGAAAGAACCGAAGATGTCGGCTCGGTCATGTGATCAGCTGTGTCCAATCACAGCTGAGCGCATGTAAATAGGGAAATGCCGGTTATCAGCATTTCTCTCCTCTCGAGCTATCACGCTGACAGCTCGAGAGGAGAGGAGAGCAGGTAACCAGCATTCCACAGAGAGGGCATGTACACTGATCATCAGGGCACTGATGATCAGTGAGCCCTGATGATCAGTGCAGCCCCAGCAGTGCCACCTGTCAGTGCCCATCAATGCCAGCAGTCAGTGCTCATCAATGCCACCTGCCAGTGCCCTTCAGTGCCACAGCAATGCCACATATCAGTGCCTACCAGTGCACATCAATGCCACATATCAGTGCCCATCTGAGCTGCATTTCAGTGTCACCTATCAGTGCCAGTCAGTGCCACCTACCAATGCCAGTCAGTGCCACCTATCAGTACTGCCAATCAGTGCCACCTATCAGTGCCAGTCAGCACTGCCTATCAGTGTGCATCAGTGCCACCTATCAGTGCCCGTCAGTGCTGCCTATCAATGCCACCTAACAGTGCCACCAAACAGTGCCAGTCAGTGCCTCCTATCAGTGCCAGTCAGTGCCACCTATCAGTGCCATATATGAGTGCTGCCTTTCAGTGCCCATCAGTGATGCCTGTCAATGCCCATCAGTGCCACCTACCAGTGCCTTCTCATCAGTGCCCATCAGTGCCACCTATTAGTGCCCATCAGTGCAGCCTATCAGTGCTCATCACTGCAGCCTCATTAGTGCACTTCAATGAAGGAGAAAAATCACTTATTTACAAAATTTTATAACAAAACTAAAAAAATATTTTTTTTTTCAAAATCTTCAGTTGTTTTTGATTTGTTTAGTAAAAATAAAAAACCCAGAGGTGATTAAATACCACCAAAAGAATGCTCTATCTATCTATGTCTCAAAAAAAAACCCTTAAAATTTCATATGGGTACAGTGTTGCATGACCGCGCAATTGTCATTCAAAGTGCGACTGCGCTGAAAGCTGAAAACTGGCCTGGGCAAGAAGGGGGTATAAGTGCCCTGCAGGCACGTGGTTAATGGAGAGCGGGGGACCAGTCTTTAAAGCGAGACTTCCCCTTTGGGGTGGAGCTTTGCTTTAGCGTTTGTCATAAATCTAACAAAATGTTAATGAAAATCAAATCCATTTTTACAATGTAAGGATTGGTCAACAAAAGTGGCCTTTCAGTGTTTGTTTTCTAATTTAAAACATACATTTCTAGCAAATATAGTGCTGGGCAAATGTTATTGAGCCTGTTATCTGCTCTTTTCTACTAAAAAACAAAAATTTCCTTGCGCATGTTCATCATAATATATAGTACATATTGGGGTTTATTTACTAAAGACAAATAGGATGATCAGGAAAATTCACTCTGAAAAGAATGCTCAATCACATACAAGAAAATAAAAAAAAAAAAACTGTATTTTTTGCCTGCACATGACTGGATGATGGAAGTCAGCAGAGCTTCACTCCATTTTTACTAAGTTAAGCGAAAATGTCCTGGCAAAATAACTGAGTACTGTCCGTGATACTTTTTTTATTTGCACTAACATACAATTTTGAGGACAAGCTTTCGGGGTATGTCCCCTTCTTTAAGGTCCAAGCAGTACTATACAAATCACAAAGTTTCAGCAGAACGTTAGAAGGGATGAAAAAAAAAAGAGGTTAGAGATAAGATACAGCAAAAGCGAGGGGGGGAGGCGACAATCACCTCTGGCAAAATAAAAAAGTGATTTAGTAATTCAACCCCATAATGTTTGTATAGGTATTTATATACATTATATGCCATCATGTAATTCCTTGAACTCCAAAATGATAAGACAATGATCATATGGTACCTGGGGTGGCTCTGACCACAAGAGTTCAAAGAACCTCTTTTTCTGTCAGAAAAAAAAAGCTCAATTGTATATTTTCAATCGGGCTCTTGCTGTTCTTCAAGATAGGATCTGCAATGCAGGTCTCAGCAATACACAGAAATGTGCATACTGTATTAGCATACATGTCCATTTGCTTTGGGGTTGTTGAAGCTGAACTCCAGACACAGAGGTAAATGTACAGTTGGCAAGCATCATTTTGGATTTATTAGCTGCGATTTATGTAAACAACAGGAAAGAAAATGAGAAAAGAAAAAAGAAAAGAAAAGGGAAAAGGAAAGGACCCTAATCTGCAATATCAAAAATTAAATTGAGTGTATAGATTCATAGGAGAAGACTCTAAAATGGTCAAAGTGGGAAATGGATAAGACTCTTAATTTTTTTTTTTTGGCCCATTGGGAAGATAAAAAGATAAATCCTTACTTCAGAAAGTGAGAGGTAATCACTCTAAGGGAATTCTCTCTTAAATGGTTGTCACCTGAACAAGTGTCCCCATTCAAAGATACCCCCCCCCCCCCCCCAATTCCAGTTCTGGAGACACACTCAGATTTTCCTACAACGTTCAGTCCCATAGACAATGGTAACTAAGACATACTGAGAGAATGAACTTTCCTAGTGAAAACAAAGAAAGCAATTAAACCCTCACATAGGTCCTAACCCTTCTCCACTCTATCCAAGAGGTACAAATGGCTTTAGCTACACATTATGGCAATTTTAGGGTACCGTAGTTTCCTGTTGGGGTTGTCAAGTTACTATGGGTTGAAGGAGACTAGCTTCAATCAAGTGGCTTAAAGTGCAATTATCTTTCTACTGTATCATTTTCATTTATCCACTGTAAGGGGTCCACCAGATGACTTGTTAGTATCCCATGTGAGTCAGCTGGTGACTCTATAAACAAGTCATCCGTAGTTTTAAAAAAAATAGCAAATACTATTTAAAAAAGACTTTTAGGACACTTTCAAAGACAAGATGAACCCAAAGAGGTATAGTTACACAGTTGAAATGATATACAGTAAATTTAATTTTTAACATTAAAATTGATAGGCCAGTAAGTAAAATCTTAAATCGCATACCAAATCCAAATTTGTTAGTGGACTTAGCATTACAGAGAAGCCAACGCAAACCACTCTTTATGCAATTTATAAGACATATCTCAGTTTTACTTTTCTCATCTCCAACTCTGACCTGATTGAGAATGAATTGCCAACTTGCACAGCAAATAATATCTGCCACTTTTGGAACTGATGGTAAGCCCTCACTCGGCAAGCAGGCCATATAGATGGTACCAGAGAAGTACCAGATGTAAAGAGGTTTCTTACGTCAAAGCCATTCTCCTTGTAACTCACACCTATACCCAGCTGTTACAGACATCTAGACGTAATTCTCAAGTCAGTAGACCCCACAAAGCATAATTTGTACAAAATGTCTATTATCTTCTGGATTCACTTATATCCTTGGGTTGTATATCAGGGCAAGTAAGATCTTTCAACAGAATTGGATCACACACTGAATTTCAGTTTTACACAAATGTCTATGATGGCATTAATGTGGAATGAAGTTAAAGAATTTTTTATTTCTGACAAGTTACTGATGACTTGTTGCTCATATACAGGTGAAACTCGAAAAATTTGAATATCGAGCAAAAGTTAATTTATTTCAGTAATGCAACTTAAAAGGTGAAACTAATATATGAGATAGACTCATTACATGCAAAGCAAGATAGTTCAAGCCATGATTTGTCATAATTGTGATGATTATGGCTTACAGCTCATGAAAACCCCAAATCCACAATCTCAGAAAATTAGAATATTACATGCAATCAATAAAACAAAGATTGTACATAGAACAATATCGGACCTCTGAAAAGTATAAGCATGCATATGTACTCAGTACTTGGTTTGGGCCCCTTTTGCAGCAATTACTGCCTCAATGCGGCGTGGCATGGAAGCTATCAGCCTGTGGCACTGCTGAGGTGTTATGGAAGACCCGGATGCTTCAATAGCGGCCTTCAGCTCTTCTGCATTGTTCGGTCTCATGTCTCTCATCTTTCACTTGCAATGCCCCATAGAGGGGCATATGGGGTTCAAGTCAGGCGAATTTGCTGGCCAATCAAGCACAGTAATCCCATGGTCATTGAACCAGATTTTGGTGCTTTTCGCAGTGTGCGCAGGTGCCAAGTCCTGATGGAAAATGAAGTCAGCATCCCCATAAAGCTTGTTTGCGGAAGGGAGCATGAAGTGCTCCAAAATCTCTTGGTAGACGGCTGCATTGACCCTGGACTTAATGAAGCACAGTGGACCAACACCAGCAGATGACATGGCTCCCCAAATCAACAAAGACTGTGGAAACTTCACACTGGACTTCAAGCATCTTGGAGTGTGTGCCTCTCCATTCTTCCTCCATACTCTGGGTCCTTGGTTTCCAAATGAGATGCAAAAGTTGCTCTCATCAGAAAAGAGGACTTTGGACCACTGAGCAACAGACCAGGTCTGTTTTTCTTTAGCCCAGGTAAGACGCTTCTGACGTTGTTTATTGTTCAGGAGCGGCTTGACAAGAGGAATACGACATTTGAAGCCCATGTCCACGATCCGTCTGTGTGTGGTGGCTCTTGATGTACTGACTCCAGCCTCAGTCCACTCCTTGTGAAAGTCCCCAACACTTTTGAATGGCTTTTTCCTGACAATCCTCTCCAGGCTGCGGTCATCCCTGCTGCTTGTGCACCTTTTTCTTCCACACTTTTTCCTTCCACATAACTTTCTATTAATGTGCTTTGATACAGCACTTTGGGAACGTCCAACTTCTTTTGCAATTACCTTTTGAGGCTTTCCCTCCTTATGGAGGGTGTCAATGATGGTTTTCTGCACAACTGTCAGGTCAGCAGTCTTTCCCATGATTGTGATTCCTACTGAACCAGACTGAGAGACCATTTAAAGGCTCAGGAACCCTTTGCAGGTGTTATGGCTTAATTAGCTGATTAGAGTGGGACACTTTGAGCCGAGAATATTGCACCTTTTCACAATATTCTAATTTTCTGAGATTGTGAATTTGGTGTTTTCATGAGCTGTAAGCCATAATCATCACAATTATGACCAATCGCGGCTTGAACTATCTTGCTTTCCATGTAATGAGTCTATCTCATATATTAGTTTCACCTTTTAAGTTGCATTACTGAAATAAATGATCTTTTGCACGATATTCTAATTTTTCGAGTTTCACCTGTACAATCACAGAAAATGTAACGGTTATCAATAATAACATCTTTTGTTCATGACAGAACTTGCATACAGTACTTGCATCAGCTACTCTAAATAAAACATGGACACTGAGCCTTAGTCACTATCTCTCTAGGCACCTCGCTCTACTCATACATGTGTACTAACATTGCTGTTGGCACATTTTCACTTTGGTTTCTAAGAGAAAAGCCCTTTAAGAGTTTTTCTACTGACAAGTGCCTCTGCTCTCATCTTTCATGATTTTTCATTCCTTCAACGCATCCTTTAAGAGCACATCAAAGACAATACCTAGGAGCTTTGACAAATCACTGTGGGTATTTTTTATTTTTTTTTCCTATGCTCAGCACTGGAATAAAACAACTATATATGTTTATATTACCTGCCTATTAGCACCTAGCATGATGCAGTAACACATTTGTGGAGTTAATTAGCACTGCAGGGAATGAGACGTGATTATCGCTTCATTCTGCCACCGACACTCCCGCAATTCCTCCATAACTTTTATATCTTCATC